AGTTCATATTTCTGACAATTGCATATATGTCACAAATAAACATCAGTGTGTCTGTTTCTATGTAATATAGCAATTCAAGCAATATCTTTGTAGTATTGCTCCAGCCACATGCTTAGGATGTGAATCTCTCTCTTTCGAACTTCGCTAAGCCACATGGGATCTCCTTCAGTCGAAAACCTAAGATCAATGTGGTGGGCGCCTAACATGAATAATCAAACATTTCAATTAATTTTCGAATAATGAAATAAACACTAGCCAATAGAAATCTAGAAAAGTTCAAAAACTACTTTGGAGAACAAATTCACTATTAAAGTAGTGGCTCTACAAACAGAGAACTTTTGCATATATCAACTGGGAAAAGTTTTATTGAGGTCCAATTTAAACAAAGCCTACTTCCAAATGCATTTGTGTTAAAATCCATGATTTTACATCTCAAAAAATAGTGCACATCTAGGACAAAGTAAAATTATTGGTTCAAAATTTTAATTTAAAAAGTTTTATTTTTTAGAATTCAAAATCTTTTATTTTTCCAAATTCATGACCATGGTCAAGATTATTGAAAAGTGAAATTTTAGATCCAAATTCCATTTTTAAATGGATATTTTAAAGAGAGCGCACATGAATAAACATGACGCACCATACCCCCATCTGATGTAATATCAGGTAACCTATGTAATTAGATTATTTTCTTTTGGTATAAAAAGTAGGAAAATATTTCTATGCTTCCCTTACAGCATAGAAGTTCTATCCTCCCCTTACCATCCAGCTGTTTAATTTTGATCAAGAGAGCCACTCACCGTTTGATCTTAGATCCGACATCTCAAAATATTTTATTTTTATTTATTTTTATACAAATTGTATGAATATGAAATTTTGTACGTGCTATCTTCTCAATGGGACACATCTATAAAAAATATTAAAAATAATTTTTCGATAAAATATAATTACCAAAATACCCCTTGAAAATTTCAGGGGTATTTTGGATATTTTATTTTATTGAAAATATTTTTTTTATAGTTTTTGCTAGTACTAGTTTAATAGAAAAATGGACATCCAAATTTTTGTGTTAAAATAATTTATAGAAAAAAATTAAAAATAAAATAGTTTTGAGACTTGACATTTTGATTGGGGCAATCTTAAACCGCCATTAAAATGGAGGGTTGGATAAGGGGGAGGATAGAACTTCTACGCTGTAAGGGAAGCATATAAAGCTTTCCCTAAAAAATAACCACCACTCCTAACTGTCAGATGTGTGCCCTCTAAATCTGCAAAAAAAAATTGTCGGGCCTTGTATGGAGAAACGACAAGCCTTTATACACCCAATTTCATATGTCGGATGACTGTGGCCTTGCACACAAGACAATACAATCCCATAATATTAAGGGGACAATTTAACCTGAATGGCCCCAATGTGTCATGAGTCATAGAGTATTTTATCAAAATTAACAACCACAAATACTATTCTGTTCTGGTTATTTTTTTGGCATGGGAAAATACACATTAAAAATCTGGAAAAGATAACAAGGTTTCAACAATGTTTTCTTAAACATAAATGACAATGATAACAGTTAAAATAGGACATGCCTTTTATGAGTCCTAGGACTCATATGTAGAAATGCATCCCCTCTTCATGATCTATATTTCTCCTCTTCATGATCTATTTTTCATATGAATTTTAGACCTAACTTTTTGGATTTATATAATCTCTAACATGGATAATATTAATGGATAAAAAAAAACTAAAGTAAAAAATGATAATTTCTTGAAAGAATATTCTAAACCATTGATTTTTCTCTGTTTTTCTTTTTTTTAGAGACTACAAGAGCACATCCATCTTTAGAGACTATAAGACTACATCCATCTTTAAGATGGAAGTGGGATGCCTCGGGGGACGCAAATGTATTTGTGCATCTCTTGACGCATAAATCACTTTGCCTTTAAAGTATGGTCTTTTGCGGGTCAGTGTTAGGAGAGCTTCATTTCGGCTGGGAAAGGGAAGTGCATTTGATTTAGTCGACTCCGTAGGAAGTCTATGTGCCTTTTAAAAGTTAAAAATATAAAAGTATTTCCAAGAAAATATTATTAGGTTTTATCTATGGGTGTTGTTTGAATAAGATTGCACCCTTAAACAATCAAAGTAAGTTGTGCCACTAAATTTTATCATAAGATGCAATTTTGGTGTCAAAAATTCTCAAGATGGCTTGAGTATCTATTTTTCTCACTAATTATGAAATGTTAGTAGGTTAAATCAAGTAGATCTATAAACACATGAAAATCTTGAAAATGATCGGTCTAGATAATGTGCTACAAACTGCACTATTTTTTGGACTCAAAATCCTTTTTGTCTTTCATATTCATACATCTCGATATTGAGATGATCACTTAGAGCGTTTTCCAACTTCGAAACAATATTTTACAATGAACTTTCTAAGTGCACCTTAATTCTACATTTTAAGGTTGTAATCTTATGGAAATATTTTCCTTTATTATCAAAATGTTTTTATATTAAAATATATTATGAAAACTTTTGACGCACTTTATTAAAAATTTTAATATTTTAGACAATTTTACAAATTATAAATATTTTAAAAGCATATATGAAATAACTGGCAATACTTTTCAAAATACTTGGGGGAACAGGAGCACTTAACCAAAAGAGTAAAGTACGGTTGTTTCGAGTGAAAATATTTTCACGTGAAAGTTTTTTCTCATGTGGTTAGATATGAGAATATTTTCACACTAATTGGTCCCGATCTATCTTTTTACACCAATTGGCAGCTAAGTGGTGTGAAACACATGAGAGGATTTTTTCATGATTAGGGACTTTTTTTGGTCTGAAAAGGTTTTTTCCGACCTTAGGATTTTGGAAGCATCATACTGAAAAAAAAATATATAATTGGCCACTATTATGCTAGCCTAATGGCAAGCCAAACTCAGTTTCGAAATGTCTACGAGAATCAATTGAAGGAGCAACAGTGACAAAGAAAGCTAAACCAAAACAAAAAAGAAGGTCTTTGCTCAATTTGGGGTTCTGCTATTTTTCACATTTCAACACTAAAATATGAGATTTTGGAGGTTTTCATGTTAAGATAATAAAGGGCAGTTATAAATATTAATGAACTTCTAAAAAGTGCCTCTCCCTATTTCCCCCCCAAAATTTTCCTAATTCCCACCAACAATGAACTTATAAAAAGTGCAATTAAGAGGGGGTTTGTCAATATAAACCTTCTTTGGCGACTAATGCCACAATGCTGTCAGACAAGTTCTCCAGCACCCTACAAAAGAAAAAAATTAATAACAATAACATTGTCAAATCAAATTCCCCATAAACAGCATTCAAATAATGCACATGTAAACATATGACCAAAAAAAAAATCTTTCCTCTTAGATATTTGCCACCATCCTTTTTTTAGTTTCAAGGTAAAAGCTAAAGGTTCTAAGGGAAAGAAAGGATGATATGAAGAAAGCATAAACAAAAAGAGGGAGAAATAAAGAAAGTCTGGTGATTGTGATATACCCTCCACCACTCCAAGGGTCTCTTAATCCATTGAAGAAAATAATGTTGCTTCCAAAGCGTTTCAATACCCTCTTGATATCCTGCCCAAACATTTTGACATAGAAAGAGTCAAAAGAATTCGCTGAAATAAGTTTCCATCATTTTACTTTCCTTGAAAATATAAAATCTCTCTCTCGCTAAAATTGAGGACCTACATGGCCACCAAAGTGTGTAGTAATCCAGTGAGGCCTTGGGTTTATTCCATAGGACTGTTGGCAATATTCTTGTGTTTGAGTGTAGTTGTAGGTGTAGGGTGGGAAAATGCTTTCCTGAGTCCTCCCCCCTGTTGCCAACAACATTTCCGTGCAAGCCTGCATCAACTCTTGCAATTGCATTTAGAGATTCACAGTCAAGATTCAAATGATTAACGATTCGATTTCTTTATAAAAATTCAAACATGTTACAATGCATATATAAGACGGTTGCATGAAATCACTCCCCTGTTTATAATAATCATGTAGTAGTTGATGGATCGCATATATTCAGTGCACCGGGACTCGGTCATGTCCACCTGGACTCGATGTCCTGGCCTTATGGGGCGGTACCCCTCAATTATGTGTAAAAATTCAAACATGTTACAATGCATATATAAGACGGTTGCATGAAATCACTTCCCTGTTTATAATAATCATGTAGTAGTTGATGGATCGCATATATTCAATGCACTGGGACTCGGTCATGTCCACCTGAACTCGATGTCCTGGCCTTATGGAGCGGTACCCCTCAATTATGTGTACAACTCGGGAATATTAAAAAGTTAAAAAATAATTTAAGGATCATAAAAAAAAATATGTGATTAATCTATCATTTTTTGTGTATGATTTTATATATTTTTGACAAATACTGGTGAATATTTCTTGCCATAAATCCCTATTTTATATTTAACCTTTATTTAGATGGTTTAAAATGCCCCCAATTATAAATCTGTTCTTTTCGAAATCCTTTTTTTCAATACTTTTTTAAACTTATTTGAGCTCCTTATTTATTTTATTTTTTTATCTAGCTTTTAATAGATTTTTTTTATTTTATTTGAACTGTTTTTGTCATTTTGTTTATCAATTTGTTGAGGGCATTTTAGCCCGGTACATGACTCGTCCTAATCTTGAGGTCTCAGCTGAGTTACACGACTTGGCCAAGGGCCGAGGCACTCAGCCGAGCCAATTTCTATACTATATATATATATATATTGTCGGGTGAGGTTTTGAGGTAGCCGCAATTGCATGTTTCTATTTGTTTTTAGTTTTTTTCCCAAAAATGCAGCTGGGTCGGAATTCCGTGTCCCAAAACGAGGGTATGTTTTTTTAATCAATTTTCGCTTAGGATCTTCAGTTTCAAGCTGAAATTTTTCTTCATAAAAAACAAAATCGTGTAAAATCAGCCCTTAAAGGAAGGGAGTATAGTGTGCTACCATGCGTGCACATTGTAATACATCAGAAAAATTAATTTTTTCTTGTAAATAATTCTTAGGGATTCTAAAGTTAATCCCATTTGGGGCGGGGTACACATTTTGCTCACTATGCACTTGATCCCTCAGGAAAAAACTGAGATCTTTTTTTCTTTTCTTTTTTTGAAATTTTGGTATATACTTTAGAATCCCAGATTATTCTTACTAAAAAAACTCTTTATTTTCAATAAATAAGTAATTTATTCAAAGGATTATGTTTCCTAGGTATAGTCCATCTTTTTAAGGGGTAATTTTTTATAAAAATATAAGTAAACAAAATTCGGTGGAAAACTTGGAAGTTTCAAACAGAAAATGAGGCAAAAAATAAAGGATATGGACCACCTATTTGCATCCATCTTTAAGATCGATGCTTTATGCCTCGGGTACCGTAAATATAAAAATGCAGTCCCCTTGAAACAATTTTCTAAAACGAAGTACACTGGTTTGGAACTTGAGTTCCTAAGAGGCATTTTGGGAGAAATAAAAAAAAATAAAATTTTTTAAAAAATAACCCCCAAAAAAAATACATGCAAGGAAAATAATACATAGAGATAATTTTTGTTAAGGAAAATGTTTCGATAGTGTTGCGGCCCTATCAAAATAAGTAAAACCTTACTTCAAAACTCACCAAAAACAGTTGTTTTAGTGCCGGAAAACCTTTAAATCGATCATTTCAGCCTTGATCATTATGATTGTGAAAAAATATTAGGATTTCTTGCCCTAAAAATAATATATATTGTAGCACATTATCTAGATTGTCCGTTTCGCCTTAAACATAAGTATTCACATATGCGCAAGGCTTGTACTACTTTTTTAGCTCCAAATTTCACCATTGGTGTTAGAAATTGATTTTAAAGCCATCATGGAGATTTCCGATATCCAATATGCCCGGACAAGAGCTATTTAGTATTGCAAACTAAAAAGAGCTATTTAGTTTACTTTCGCCAAAAACAAGTGGTTTTAAAATCCTAAAAGTGATTCATCCTGATTTTCGACCATCCATTTCAAGTATTCGACACCGTATTAGGAGTTCCGAAATCCATGGTTAGAGGTCGAATTGGATTTGGAATCCATCAAAGAGGTTCATGGATCTTCTAGGTTCGTGTCTACTGGTGTTGAGCATTACCCTCCACCAACCTGCTTTCTTTATCACATACTTAATTTCTAGAGAACTTGACAATTTTTATTTTTCTATGGGTTTCAAAATCCAAACCATTACTATAAATAAATGTGATTGAAATTTTCTAAAGGAAACAACCACTGAATTTCTCTCTTTTTTCGCTCTCGTAACAATTTGAAGTGAAAGTTCTTTAAAAAAACACTACACAACGCTTATAGGCCAAAATAAACAGTGATTTTGACTATGCTCATCACCGTCCAAAGTGCATCGCTCGATCACAGTTATCTAGTAGTGTTTCAATTTTCATTTTTTTCTACAAATCGAAATGATCTGAAATTTGGAACGCATGTTCATAAAAAATAAGAGAATCTAAAAAAAATATAAAAAAATAATTTGTAAAATATAAATTGATCAAAATACCCCTAAAAATTTATCAGGGCATTTTGATCAATTTATATTTAGCGAAATATTTTTTTTTATATTTTTATTAGGTGCGTCTCACTAAGATGTATACACGCTTCAAATTTAAGATCATTATGATTTATATAATAAAAAAAATGAAAATTGAAACACTACCAGACAATCGTGTTTGGTTGGTGATGAGCATAGACGAAATCACTGTTCATTATCGCCCTTGGGTAAACTTTTCCTTATCAAAGGAATATACCTTATTTTCAACTATTTGATATTGTAACTATGTTTCTACTCTTCCAATTAAAAATTATATATATTTTGATAGAAATTTTCAAATTAAATTTTAAAATATAGATAAAATATTAAATAATTAAGCCAAAATATTTCCTACTCCCTCAATAGTATATTGTCCATCTACTCCATGGAAAAATTTCATGCTAGGAAAATTTTTTAAATGTCAAATTTTGTGGAGGTATACTCTAGAACCCAATCATCACCCTTAAAGTAAAAAAATGCACAAGAGCCATCTAATTTCTAGAGGAAGAAAACATGGATGTTAAAGAACTCAAAATCCAAATTTTTTTCTTTCAAAATAATCATCTAATGATAGTTAGATAGATCTCAAAATTTTGAATATAAAAAACTCCTAAATAGCTATTTTATCCGAGGGAGTTGTTGTATAGTGTGCTCCCACAAGAGAATGCTATACCCACTCTATAGTTAAAACTAGCATTAGTGCACTGTAAATCCTTTCACGGTGGTGGAACAAGAAAATGCAAAAAGATATTCTACTCTAGGATGTCTATTTACTCCCTCGGGTACCTCATTTACATTTAATTTTAGGATCCTAAATTTTGGAGATGTAACCTCTTCAGCTCATAGATTAACTTATTGAAAAGAAAAATTCCTAATTGTTCTATGCACTTAAAAAAAATTTATCTCAAGCGTGAATAGAGATCATATAATTTTTAGATGGTTTGATCTAGGTGCCCTAATAACTTAAATTTCAATTTTTTTTTAGAATAATCATCTTCTAATCCTAATAAGTGGTTTCAAAGAGAGAGACCTGAAATCCCCATCCATTTAAGCCGTGTCGGTCGGAGTTATCGGAGAGATTGAAACACATGGAATCTCCTGTGTAATTGTAGAAAATATTGGCAGCTTCATAAATTCCTTTGAACTGTTCATCTCCCGCATCATCCACAGCCTTGCACATCTGTATTTTACACATAATCCTCAGCCTCTGCCCCCCTTTCCACAAAAATATCCCAAATATTCCCCACACTTATCATATCCATCTCATGGAGTAAATAATGTTTTTAAGCTTGGAAGAAGTTTATTTAGAGCCGAGGGTCTAAACAATCAAATTAGAGCCTACCTCAAAAATATCATCGTGTTAATGTCTAAATATTCTCAAATTTATCATCTCGACATCAAGACGTATGGACATGAGAAAAAATGGATTTCAAGATTTGGAAATAGTGCATCTTGTAATGTAATTTTGAACAGTCTATTTTCAAAATTGTCAAGTTTTCATAGATCTGCTTAATCTACATAAACTTTAAATTTTATTATTAAAAATAAGAATATATTTTAAAGCTATCGCAAAGATTTTTAGTATTGCATCAGCATTTCTCGACACAGGTTGATTGTTTAGAGCTTCGGCTCCATACAAACCTCACCTTTTTAAGTTTTTTTTTTTATGGGCCGGTTTTGACTAAAGGTTTTTTTTTGAATGGGCGGGTCACCAATTGGATAGCTGGTTCGATCATGATAGCACCTTTTCATTGTTCATTGAACTGGGGTTCGAAAAGGACCTCGAACGAAAAGTCCGGAGAGAAAAAGTAGGGTAAAGTAACATACTTGTTCAATGGGAAAAGCAGGTAGGGGTGCAAGAAAGCTAGAGGGAACTGGATAATCAGTCATGGCCGTGTATATGAACGCCCTTTCCAACCAATTTGTCAACGAATCTTCGCTAATGTAATTCCTGCAAATTCACACACACACACAGAGTTTAGCCCAAAGCAAATAAATTTGGCAAATTTCGCTAAAGGTGTAGAAAAAGTAAAAATATTACGGGCAGATTCTGAAAGACTTTCTAAGCTCTTCAAGTCCCCCTGGCTGCTGTGCGGTTTCATGAATTTTCTGCCATGAATTCTTTATCACCTTGTAACAGTTCTCGCTCTCGCTCTATTCAACAAACAGAATGACCATAATTACAAATTAGAGCGACAGATCTAATAAGATTAGTAGAGGAAGGGGAGCAAAAAAAATGAACCCATATCAAAACAAGAGAGAGAGACCCTGAAATCTTCGGTGACGATGTTATTGAAGGAATAGGGAGAGGTAATGTCTGCGAAGTTTAGAATTGGAGCGGAAGATGCCAAAGCTCCAATGCAGACGTGTGGATATTTTAACCTGAACCATGTGGCCAACACTACAAAGGAAACCATGAAATAAACACATGCTTTTCTCTCTCTACCATAAATCTCTCATGGCAACAGAATTCCGCCTCTCTCTCTCTCAAACTTACTTCCACCATAAGAACCACCCATGACAACAACTGGAGAGTCTTCGGCAGACAAATTCTTCTTGAGATCAATGATCAACATCGCGTAATCAGCCAATGCCTGAGCCGAACTCAGATACCCATGGGTGCTAGCATTCTTATAAGCAATCTCCTCACTCCCATAAGGTATAGACTCCCCATAATATCTATGCTGAAAAACCCACACCAAAAGAGATGGAACGACACCAATTTCAAAAATCATATAGATAGATAGAGATCGATACGAGAGAGAGATAGAGAGAGAGAGGGATTTTGTTACCTCAATGAAAACTAAGAGGGCTTTGAAATAAGGGGCATTCTCAAACATGAAGCCTGTATTCTGTGCAAACCATTCGACGTCCCCTTCATTTCCTGTGTACACAAAGATTGGAGCCTTGTCTATGGGGCCACCCCAGTACTTAGAATTAATGAGATACCTCTGCTGAAAAGTTTCATAGCCCCATGGAACATAGTTGAAATGATCCAATGTCTGTGTAAAATACTTAATCTCATAATATACCTTCTCACTTGAATAGCTAATAGTTGGCTTCAAAAGTTCAGGTTTAATAAGAGAAGAAGGGAAGGGAGGGGATGGTCTTCCAATTGACCTATAATGGGAGGAGAGAGGGAAAGTGTTGATTGAGTTGGACAAAGAGAAGAGAGAGAAAATTAGTGCAGCTACTGTCATTGCTGAGGAAGCCATTTCAGGCCCCATAATTTGGTTTTTCAGGACTTGAAGAAATAAGTTGCAGAGGAAGCCATTTAGTCGAATGCAGAACCCAGAATTGGATCTTTTCAGGACCTGCAGAAATAAGCAAAGAGAGAGAGAGAAACAGAGGTGGATAACAGGACAAATCCGACTACGATAATTTCAATGCGAGTACACAGACAAGGAAATGGTCGTCGATTGGGACCTTGGAAATTACTATATTGAGTAATCGAAGGGGACCTGTTCATGAGGCTTGACGTATTCAATTGGGTTTTCTTTTTTGTACGGACATTTCATTTTTTTTCTCTTCACACCTATACTTTTCCTTTTCTATACTTTTGACAGATCCCTTTCTGCTTTCCAATGGGATTGTCCCCCCAATAAACTGTGAGCACATTTGAAGATAAGGACCACGGAATCTAATTACCGACATTCATATTCTCATGGTACAATGCACTGTATGTTTGAGAGAGAGAGATATTGTGTGAGAGAGGGAGAGAGAGCCACATTCATCTGAACTATACGTTTATATGAACTCAAACAATAATATAAACACATAAAAATGGAGCAGCCAAGACTGCAACTGCAATTGCGCAGTGCCCTAAACAGGCAAATGTTAATAGTAACACAAATTTCAATGACACAAATTCATCAATAATTTAAGCCTTCCCCTGTAATAGAACCACCTCAGATTCAATTGGAAATGTTGGGTATGTAATTTACATCAAGTCTTTCCCAGTAATAGGACTACTTCATCTTCAACTGTAAATGCTCGGCATAAAATTACATATGACAAACTTTGGGCTAGATAGAAAAGTTACAACAAAGATGCCCCTAAGACCACGATGCCATTGTGAAGTGAATGAAAGCTCATTAACCATGAGATGCAATGCATCGTCATTCTTTAAAGTTGATAAAATGTATTAAAAGAAGTAAAGAAAAACAGAGAAACAGAGAAGCTTTATACGTGCATCATCATTGTACATTAAGGATGCCAAAATATACTAAAAAAGGGCATTCTAGAAAACCAAATGCCACTATAACAACTTTTTTGGCCCTTCAACTTTGGTATTGGAAGCGAATGAGACAGGCACCAATGGGCGGTCCTTCACAGTCAGGCTCAGAACATCAGGCCTCGCATAATGTCGAACCACATTAAAATAAAACTTGGCTCGCACAATTTCTCCAAAATCTACACCATTAGAATCCAAAAACAGTTTGTCATTATGATAAAGTCCCAAGAAATTTCCTTAACTAGAGATAAATAAAATGGAAGATACTAAAATGTCCAGTTAATATGTGATGACCCTGCCCATTGCGATGAAATGATGGAATGGGACTGAAGAAGAGAGGATCACCAGAAAAGAGAAGGTCCCCAATGCTGCGTTCCACCACTCTCCACAACACCATCTATTCCGTGAATCCAATGGATGGTTTTTTCCATAGTCCACTGGACTGGCATCCTCATATAATTTAAAATTTAAAATCCAAGTCTCCACAAAGTGGTGAAAACATTACCGATGAGATGAGAAAATCTCTAACAGAACAGACACTCCAAAAAAAAAGCTTTGATATCACAATCGCTTCCCATTATACCAATGTTTTAAAAATCGGTGACCCAATCTGGAATCGGGCTATCCAGAGCAATGGTTGGACTGTTCCGGATCCGGCCATAAAATGGGATCCGTATGATTAGCTACAAAAAATCCAATTGATGACATCACGATTCAGATTGATGGCAATATGATTCGAAGACTGCGAAAATTTTTTATCAAACAAATGCTATAATTGTGCCCCCACCAAACACGTCTACACCACTAAAGAAATCCACCAATTGCTCACCTACAAACATTGTTCACAAGATTGCCCAATCTAATAGCCCGGTAAGATCGGAACCGGCCAGTGGCCGGTTCCGGTTTTGGTGCTTAGGGTGATGAACCGATATTTAAAAAAAAAAAATCATAAAAAAGATATAAATTCTCAAAAATAAGGAATTTGATTTGTAATGCATTTTTAAATATTCTTTACGTTATGGTAAAGATTATAAATTGTTTTGGTCATTAATACCTACTTTTATATCTTCTCATTGTTTTTAGAAAATTTTAAACATAGCTCTTGGAAAATATAAAATGAGTTAAAATCAATTTTTTTCATTATTTTTCAACTTCATTTGAATGTGTTTTGTTTTAATCATTCTTTATATGATTTTCATATTTTACTAGATTTTTTTGTTTTTTCAACACGTTTTTTACCGCCCGAGACTTGCCCAGTTAGAGCGGTTGAATCGGCCAGTTTGCCGGTTAGGCCAGTTAAACCGCTTCCAAGCGCATATCCGGTTAACTATTCCTGTTTGATTTTGCGAACACTGCCTACAAACCATATGCGCACAAATACGGCAGTTGTTAGCGTTTTTACAAATGTTAAACTTCTACTTAATCGTCGATGTAGGACAATTGTCTCACTCCTCCCGTTTCAAATAATCCCATAGTCTCTCTCTCTTTCTCTCTTGTCACCACCCCTATGTTATTTTGCAGTGTAAAAATAAATGATCACCACTTTTGGCGTCTTCTTTACATAGTAGACACACATTTACCACCATTCATCCTCTCTTGATGAGATTGTCCATGGTTAAACTTTTGTCTTGAAAAAGAATCCATAAGAAACATCTCACTTTCAATGGCACCGCCCATTGCCAAATTTTACGCAATGACTCCCATCTCCATCTTAATCTATCATAAAACAATAGTTCATATGCAGATAACACACTGACTCCCATCTCCATCTTAATCTATCATAAAACAATAGTTCATATGCATATAACACACTGAATTGGCCATCATTATTTGTCTCCCATATAATTTCATCCTCTATAGTTTGTGAGAGATACCTCCTTCAAAAATAGTGGTATTAATTTTTACAAATTGTTGAATCACAATATCTAGCACCCTATTTCTAGACAATTGTACATTCATATGTGCTACCCCACCTCACATATCCACCATCTCAACTACTGTCAAGTACTTATTGATAGATAATTCAAATATATCAGGAAATTGGTGTTTTAAAGCTTCCCCTTCCACCCAGCTATGATGCCAGAACAGAATTGAGTTTCCACTACCAAAAATCAACCTCAGACTATTGAGAACCAATACTCTCAAGCCCAGATGATTAATTTGATACATTATAATGCATATCTCTTATATTGTTCAGAAACATGTTGAATTACTCATTTTCCTCTACAAAGTAAATTAGAGAAGTAACTTAAGTCGGTATTAGTTTTTGAAAAAGTTTATATAATGGTGAGGCCTAAACAATCAAACCAAGGTGCACCTAAAAAAAAATCACTAGAAGAAGTTGTTTTGATGCCCAAAAATCCTCAAATCGATCATTTTGACCTCAAGATGTATGGATATAAGAAAAAATGGATTTCAAGTCTTAGAAAATGTGCATCTTGTAATGCATTTTTACACCATTAATTATCAAGATTTACAGGTGTTTAAGATCTGCCCGATCTATACTATTTTTGAAGTTTTAAATATTATAATTCAAGATGAAAATAAATTTTCAAGTCATCACATAGATTTTCAATATTGAAACAACTTTCAATACCATTTGAAGGTGCACCTTACTTTGATTGTTTAGGGGCTCAGCCTTATACAAAAAACACCCTTTTAGTTTTTTGTGGCGTAAAAATTGAAAACGAACCATCCAACGCACAATATCATATGTGGTGCTAAAAAGTAAAAGTGGATGGCTGCAATGATAGGTAATGTAGTGATCTTATTAACTAATAAGAATAAACTTTTCTTAATTTATAAGACAAAATTATATCTTTCTTTATATCATTGTAATTCTAAATAAACCCCATCCCCTTCAATTTAAAAATAATAATAATATGAAACGCATTCCTTACTTTTTTTTCATTATTTATATTACAATATTTATCCTTTTTCTTTTTTTCTAGTGACCGTGTCATCCAAAAAGAATAATTTTTTATTTTATTTTTTTTGAATGGTACCATACAAGCTATCATTAATTCATATGTAAATACAAGACATTCAAGCAAAGACGCAAGATTACATAAATGAAGTAACTAACAGAGATGTAGTATGGACTCCTCCTTTGGCAAGAACATCGACATCTTCATTCGCATCTCTATAACAATGTTGGACCGTTGCCATGGAGGTTGACAAAATATCCCAATTTTGATGAAAAATAGTCCTTAATCTCCAAGGAATATGGGCCTTTCTTTTACTCCAGGCAATGACATTTGCCGAGTCTCTTTCGGTAATCCTGCCCCCTTCCAAAGTGCATAGCAATTTCAAACCTTCTAATAAACCTCGTGCTTCCTCCTCGTTTGCTGTTGTGAACCACAAGTACCTGGGTAAAAAAATATAATATGACCCAAATTATTTCTGATGAGCCCAGCATAGCCAGCTGGCCCTAAATTGCCAAGTGAACTTCCATCAAAATTAAGTTTGAAGAAATTCACTCCAAACAACCTCACTACGAGTGTTGGTGATAACACCCATAGTCGCCACTGCAAAGGGATTGCTAATGATAAGACTTTTAAGAATAAATCCACTATCCTTATGTATAAGGAACCAATCAGCTGCAACTGCTAAAATATTCGATTTTAATGTAGACAAATCTGTACTTATACTATTAAATATTATTCTATTTGTATCATTCCTCTCATTCCAAATAAGGCTAACCCAAATAGATCTCTAAAGAATAGTTCCCATCATTAAAATATTGGGTGTGCTTCATTGGTCAAGAAGAGCTCTGACATTTTGGGGCAAAAGTAATGACAGATTGAGGCACTGTTGAGCTCAATCCCAAAGATAGGTAACAAACGGGCATGAGAGGAAAAGATGTTGCGAAGTTTCATTATTGTCTTTGTATAGGATACATACATTGGTGATAAACCCCCTCTTTCCCAAGTTGTCATCAATTGCTAATTTATCTTGACACAGAATCCATAAGAAGAGCTGCACCTTAAGAGGCACATGCAATGTCTTAATCTTGAATAAACTAGCATCCAACTCTCTCCAACGATAAAAAAAAAATAGATTGTAGGTTGACTTAACTGAAAAATCTCTCGAAGGGGTAAGATCCCAAATAAAGCTATCATCCATATTTGGAGTCAAACATGTATCATTCAATATATTCAATAATGTCTGATACTCCTCAATGAATCTGTCTGTACCTCTCATGTACCTACAAGAAATGAACAAAACAATATTAGTATAAACACCCTCACTAGCCTTCTTGACAGATGCTAGTGGGTTTAAAGCTTTTGAGAAAACCTCAAGGAAAA